TTTTCTCGTTTTTTTTTTTTTGAAATTTTAGGATTGTTACATTCTTCCCTCCTTAAAGAAATTTAGTCCTTTAAATTTGTGTACTTGATTACTGAAAAAGATAGGGGTATTTTTCTCTGATTTCGTCTTCTCGTTCCCAAGTCGACTTTTCTCTTGAATGGTACTGCCATAATACACGGACTAAAGGATTCTCCTTGTTACGCAACACTTGCACCCTTCTATCCAGTATCAAAATTGGCTGCTTAATGAAGGATAGGTCCTTCCTGATCGGTAAAGGTTCATATTTTAAGATACGGGACGGGTCGGGCTGATATTTTCGTAGTGAAGATACATGAAAGACATTATGGACATTTGCCAACTCGGGTGGTAAGGCAAGTCTATAAGCGACACCTCCGATTCTTTCCAGGATTTCAAATGGTCCGATGTAACGTGAGCTCAATTTTCCTTTCTTGCCGAATCTCATAATGCCCTTTATTGATGAGATTTTTAGGAAAACTCGATCACCTTCTTCAAATTCAAGATCTCTCCTTCGGTTATCGGCATAACTCTTTTGCCGACACTGTGCTGTCCTGAGCCTTTCACGAATTAATGCTATTTTATCTGTGGTTATCTGGACAATTTCTGGCCCCAAAAACTTTCTTTCACCAACCTCGTCCCAACATATGGGTGACCTGCATTTTCTTCCATACAGGGCTTCATATGGTGCCATTTGAATACTGGCTTGGAAGCTATTATTATAAGCAAACTCAATCAGGGGTAAATGGTCATTCCAGCTTCCTGTAAGGTCAATAACACAGGCCCTCAGCATATCTTCCAAGGTTTGGATGGTCCTCTCCGATTGTCCATCAGTTTGGGGGTGAAAGGCGATACTAAAGGCGAGTTTCGTCCCCGTGGTTGACTGTAGTCTAGCTCAAAATTTAGAAGTAAACCGAGTATCCTTGTCCGATACAATACTGACAGGAACTCCATGCAACCGCACTATTTCCTTAATGTACAGCTGAGCCAGTCGATCCAAAGTGTACGTCGTGCGAATCGGTAGAAAGTGGGCAGCTTTGGTTACCCGGTCCACAATGACCCAAATGCTATCATGTCCTGAATTTGTTCTAGGCAAGTCAGAGACAAAATCCATAGAGATGTGCTCCCATTTCCATTCTGGCACCGGTAAAGGCTGCAACAACCCAGCGGGCCTTTGATGTTCAGCTTTTACTTGCTGGCATGTTAGGCATTTAGACACAAATAGTGCTATCTCTTTTTTCATATTATTCCACCAAAAGGTTTTCTTCAGGTCCTGATACATTTTAATACTTCCGGGATGTATTGTATAACGAGAATGATGTGCTTCTTCTAAGATAACTTTCTTTACACTCTCATCATTCGGGACACAAACCCGACCTTTGAATCTTAGCAAATCCTCACTACATATAGAGAATTCATCTCTCTTTCCTTGCTTCACCTCTTCTGTAATTGTTATAAGCTGATGGTCTTTCTTTTGTGCCAATCGAATTTGTTGGATTAATTGGGGTTCCGCCTTAATATTGGCAATCATACTTACCACACCATTAATGGACGGAGTTGGATGCCAATCCACTATTTCCTCTAACAATCTCATTTCTTGGATCTTTAGATGAGCTAAGACTCCCGTAGATTTTCTACTTAG